TGGATATCATCATAAATTCATTATCGGAATCCACAAGAAGGAATCACTACCAGAAGATCTCAAAAGCTCAACCTCACATGGCTCTAATTTCTCAACATGAGCCAAAGAAAGTGGATGAAGCACTGAAAGATGACTACTGGATCAAATTAATGAAAGATGAACTTGATCAATTTGGAAGAAATAAAGTGTTGAAACTGATTTCAAAACCATCAAATACTTCTATTGTAGGAACTAAATGAATTTTCAGAAATAAGTTGAATGAATCCGGACAAGTGGTACGGAATAAAGCACGTCTGGTTGCTCAAGGTTACTCTTAGCAAGATGGTATCAACTACGATGAAACATTTTCACCTGTAGCATGATTGGAATCTATTCGAATATTACTTTCCTTTATTGCTCATAAAGGATTCAAACTATTTCTAATGGATGTAAAAAGTGCCTTCCTAAATGATTACATCTCTGAAGAAGTTTATGTGAAGCAACCTCCAGGATTTGTAAATAATACTTTCCCAGATCATGTATTCAAGTTGACTAAAGCTCTATATGGACTCAAGCAAGCTCCTCGAGCCTGGTATGAAAGATTAAGCTCCTTCCTTCTAAATCAAGGTTTTAAACAAAGTAATATCGATACAACTTTGTTTATTAAGCACTCAAATTCAGGTAATCTTATCACTCAAATTTATGTTGACGATATTATTATTGGAATTTCTAACTCTATACTATGTGAAGAATTCGGTTATACTATGAAAGGAGAATTCGAAATGAGCATAATGAGAGAGCTAATTTTTTTCTTGGATTGAAAATCAAACAGTCTCCCAAAGGGATCTTTATCAGCCAAACTAAGTACATCAAGGAACATATAAAGATGTTTGGCATGGAGAATGCTAAGTCCATTGGGACTCCAATGAGTCCAACAACTACGCTTGATGAAGATAACAATGGAAAAAATATTGATGAAACAATGTATAGATGAATGATTGGATCGTTATTATATCTCACTGCTAGTTGACCAGATATAATGTCCAATGTTTGTAAATGTGCAAGGTTTCAGTCGGCTTCAAAGGAATCCCATCTTATTGTTGTTAAATGTATTATTAGATACATTATTGGGACCCCTAAATTAGGATTATGGTATAATCACTCTAACAATTTTGTTTTAAAAGGTTTTTCAGATGCAGATTTTGCAGGTGATAAAATTGAAAGGAAAAGTACTAGTGACACATGTCAACTATTGGGAAATGCACTAGTTTCCTGGCATATGAAGAAACAAATCTATGTTGCCTTGTCAACGACTGAAGCAGAGTATTTAGCTGTTGGAAGCTGATGTACACAAGTTCTTTGGATTATGCATCAACTTCTCAACTATGATTTATCTCTTATTTCTACTCCTATATATTGTGATAATACTACTGCTATATGTTTGTCAAAAAATTCTGTGCATCACTCTAGAACAAAGCATATAGAAATCAAGCATCATTTTATATGTGATCATGTTGCTAAAGGTGATGTTGTATTAGAATTCAATAGTACTAAATCTCAACTTGCTTATATTTTTACAAAACCTCTTTCAGAAGAAAGATTTTGTTTACTGCGAAAAAAGATTGGCATTATGTCTATTTTGTGAAACAAATTTTTTTTATATGTTCAAAATATTTTATTTCATTTCTTATGTCTGTTTAACTGTGAAGTACATTTACTTTGATGTAAGTGTAATTATTACACGTCCATCAGAACTGCCGAAACATCTCCTCAAAAGAGTCACTTCCTTCTGATTTCATCCTTTCCTTTAACTAATGCAACCCTTCAACCTTCCAAACGCCTAGATAAGAACCCTCTTCTCTCCCTTTATTTCAGCATTCTCTCCAAGCAAATTTCCTTACAATGGCGAAAAGAAACCTCTCATCCTCTACTACTACCAAACGAAGCAGACGTTTTCAGAAAACCTACAATTCTGAAGAAACCGTAGACCTGGAATCCTCCATCAACTCAGATTTTCTCAAAACCGACAATGAAAGCAGTGAATCTTCAGAGGACCTTCCCATTAAGGCATGAAAGAGGCCCATTGAGCAAACCCCCAAAAAGCTTGCATGCAAGAAAAGAGAAAGTGGAGATTATGGAATTTGGGCCAGAGGACAAATTAATCTTCTATGGACCAAGTGAAAAATCAAGGTTTGAGTCCTATAAGTCAAAATCAATGGCTTATGGACTCTCTGTAAGTCTCTCTCTTATGAAAAATCTGCACTGTGATGTGATTTCTATCTTTGATTTTCAACGACTTTCCTATATGTTCAATATTGTTGGGAACTCTGTGTATGAAAAACATGTGAGAATGTTCTAAGCTAATTTGTTTGTGAATGATAAAGATGATTTGGAGTCCATGATTTTAGGAACTCAAATTGTTCTTGACTCTTATCAGTTTGGGAAGATCTTTTTTGCTAAGTTTAACGGGTATGATGTTTTTGTGCAAAATTCATAGCCAAAAAGACTTTGAAGTTTCCTTAGAAGAGGCAAAAGCCTTCCTGTCTGATAATCCTCCCGACATTGGTCCCAGAAATCTAAAGTTTGAATACCATATTTTGGCCCACATGATAGCCACCACTTTACTTCCTAAAACCGGGTCCCTAGCACTCTGTCTACCAGGGATATCTTTGTTCTTTACTGTCTTGTGAACAATAAAAGACTTGACTGGTTTGTATAGATTCGTTAGTATATACTTGAGAGTATTACGGATATATATCCTCTTCTGCTGCTTGTCTACCCTATGGCCTGCTAATCTCACATATTCTTGAAGTTATGAAGGTTGATTTGTCACATTTCTCACCCAAGCATATTACCGGTACCTATGATAAGACAAATTTTTCTATGATGGGTTATACTTTAAGTGATGATGGATGGTCAGGCATGCCAAAGTTGAAAGTGTTCCGGTGCAGTTTGAAGCTCCCACTGAACCACCAAAGTCTCAGTCGACTGCCTCTCAAAATTTTCAGTAGATTCAACAATATCTAGATGGGGTAAAACTCCTTCTTACTGAGATGAAAGAATAAGAGGAAAAGATTAGGGAAGTCACTAAGGAAACATGTACAGATGTGGCCAAGTTTAGGATGGATATGGAAGCCACACGGAGGTAAGGAACTAGGGCATTCAACTCCATCACAGCAAAGATGAACAAGCTAGTCAATGATGTTGACACCTTTTTGCACCAAAGTGATCAACACCCTCAAGTACTTCCTGGGGAGAAATTAAGGCATGTTGTGTGTGTTAAAAATAATTTTTTGTGTGCTTGCTTTTGCTCTGTGACTTATTTGTGCATTGGTCTATATGAACCATCACTCTATACCTCTATTGAAGGCATTACTTCTGCTGCCCTAACTAGTTTGCATATTATATGTACATTATCTTCTCTATGTTGCATCTTTGGTTTGTATTTTCTTTCCTTTTTGATTTATGTCAAAGGGGAGAACATTATGGAGGAGTAAATCAACAACTCAAGGGGAAAATAAACTCAGGGGGAGCAGCAACAACTCAGGGGGAGCAGGCATCTCTAGTTATATGAAAGTGAAGTATAAGTGTTTACTCTCTCTTTATTTTCATCATAAAAAACGGGGAGATTGTTACATCTAAATTTTAATAATGACAATTGTACAAAGCTTAATCCTATCTACTTGATTGCAGAAATCAAGGCATCATCAAGGGCATCAACAAATGGAAATAAGATCGAAGATAATTTGATGATGCTAAATCAAAGGAAGGCAAGACATCAAAAAGGAAACCAAATCAGTCTTGCTATCTTAGTCACAATCAAAGGACAACGAGGCTGTCTAACAAGGAAGCATATCAAATGCAGCTCGAAAATATCAGGCATCTCGTCCAAGGCTATATTAGAAGATTGACCAACCAAATCGAAGCCTCAAATCACTCTATGAAATGAGGACATGAAAAGGAAGGACATAAGCGAATCCAACCCTTCTCTAGTGCAAGATTTGGAGGCACCCTTTGGGTCAAATCTCTTAGAGGATTCAGTGCCTCAATCAAGATCAATCTTCAACGGCCCTCAAGCCTCGTATAAGAAGACTGTCAATTTCAAGAAGAAGAGTTATGCAACAAAAAATACCATCTTCTAAGTCTCTCTAGTTCTTAGTGCAAACACTGTATTCTTGAGTTTACATGTATCACAAAAGATAGAAAGAATTAGAACACAAAAGATAGTTGTGTCAACATCCAAGAACTACTGTTGCTAAACATCGTTGGTGGTGAACGAACTAAAACAATCACTGTTGCAATTCTTTATCAAGATCTAAGAGAACCTTTGTGACCCAAGGGAAATTGGACGTAAGTACCACACCGGTACCGAATAAGTATAAAAATTGTTGTGTTATTTAGCTTTCAATTCATTTGGTTCATCTCTACTTTATCTACTTGTTGCGCAAAACCTAGTCGACTAAACTTATAATTAGTCAATCAACTTTTAATAGACAACAAATTCCCCCCCTCCCCCCCCCCCCCCCCCCCCCTACTTTCAATAACAATTATCAAAGTCCTAAGTATAGATTAATTGACACGGTAATTATTTTTTAAGAATTTCCAAAGCCAAGTTCCTAGAAAAATCATACTTGTAGGGAAGGCATTATTCAATTAAATTTTCAAGAAGTTTGTACTCTTCAACTTCATATTTCAAGGCTAACGAGAAAGTTTCAGAAATCGCCATCACCAATTACTTTAGAAAGACTCTTCCTTTAATTAAAGCAGAAACCACATCCCAACTTTTGTCTTTGCCATTTCTCGCAACTAGAAAAGAGAATTGAGGCCCATGTTCACTCATTTTGACACACATTTGATGGATTGAATCTTGTAATTGACGTATTGGAGGACCCTGTCCCCCATATATATTGTCCAACTTATACAGTCACTAGAAGCATAAAATCAATCATTTAATGTCATTCTTTCAAATACACAAGAAAATTCAGTAGAAATAAAGGGAGGGGGGGGGGCACGCAAAGTAGTATTATCAACATATAATTCTATTCATTTCATTCTATTGCTACAGCTATAGTTAGCTTAATTCCCAATTCCATACACATCAATTTGGGTTCTCAGGGTCATGTCCTTGTGGTTGTGGCTCATGCAGTGTGACAACAGGTAACAGAGATGGATTATAAGAATACCATCTGGAACAGAATAGATAATTAATGAAGTTGACTAGGCTAAGAGCAGCCAACAGCCAATAGAAAAGATCTAGCCTATCCTTGTTGAGGTCATTGTCATTTAGCCATCCACCTGATCCTGATGATGAACTAGACGTTATTTTGTTAACCAAAGAAACCAACAAAGAGCTCAAATAAAATCCAAATGAATAGGAACAATAGGTCATGGCCGTCAAAAAAGATTGCATCCCTTCCAATGATTGTTTGTAGAAGAACTCAATAAGTCCAACAGCAGTGAACATCTCCGACAGGCCGAAAATTAGAAACTGTGGAGCTATCCAGAAAATGGACAGTGTCCTGTTCTGGTTCAGGGCATAGTTTCTTCTTTTATTCTCAACTAGAGCAGCGCAGACCATAGAGAATGTCGCGATGAAAAGGCCAATGCCAACTCTTTGTAAAGGCGTGATTCCTGAATCTTTGCCAGTGAACTTTCGGGTCATGGGGACAAACGCGATTTCGTACAGAGGGACCAAAAATATAAGCATAATGTAAGGTATGGCCTGAAGGGAAGCTGGAGGGATTTTGAAGTTGTGCGCGAGGCGAGTGTTCATTGTAGTTCCTTGTTGGACTGAGAAGGTCTGGAGCTGAGCTAGAATTGTGTTGAAGATTATGGTGCAAGCGAAGATTGGAACAACTGAGATTAGTATTTTTACTTGCTCCACTTGAGACACTGTGCATAGTCTCCAGGGGCTTTCACTTGTACTACTTCCATCTTGTTTTTTGATACACGCCTTGTCTAAGAACCTGCCTTGCATACACACAGAAAGTTAAAGAGGCAAAAGGGTCAAAGTAACCTACTCGAGCTTCTGCCCTTTGTATTGTACCGCCTGGAAAGAGGTTCGCTAGCCTTTTTCTTTCCCTGCACCTAAAAGTTGCCTTAGTTCCCTTTTTTTTAAAAAAAGACCTAAGCTTGAAGTCAAGGCTTTTATGATGCTCGATCTTTCTTGACGAAGAGAATATATATAAAGTATATAGCAAGTTCAGAGTACGGTGAATTCAGACATGTATTTTTCAAAAATTTTAAAATAAAATTTCTCTATATATATAGAATCTACAAACTCCCTCCGTTTAAATTTATATGATGTAGGTTGGACGATGATAGTCAAGGTGATTAATTTTTGGCGTGAATTTAGATATAGAATTTATAATTTTATAAAAATAATATTTATGTATTAAGTGATTACGTAAAAAGTATTATAAGTCAGAGCAATTAGTAACTCAAAACATTAAAAAAGTATATACAATAATGCGTTCAAAGAAATTCTTGTTTGACTCTAATAGTAACTACGTCATATAAATTGAAATGGACGTAGTAAAAAATACTATACGTAACAATAACTAATAGTTACATATTTAAAAAAAAGGAAGTAGGAAAAAGCTTTTTTTCACTTTCTAATTAAACTAAATAGAGGGTGTGGGTGTATATCTCAGAGATGAAGATATTATGGTATCCCACCTGAACTTATCCGTATGGATGAGAGTGCTGCCTTTTGATGCCATGCCAGAAAGGTTTTGTTGGGGCGCAATGAATTGGCTTCCATGAAGCATCTCCAGATTTGATGGACAAATCTGCTTTCTTTTTGTGATTGCAGCCACAAACACCTTGGGGGAGCAAAGTAGTGAATTAATTAGCTAGTAGAGAATGATGAACAACTAAAATCCAGATTAGTATTGTATATGGGTATTGTAGATTGGGTCGAGTTAAGTTATTTTTATTTTAAGGAAAAAATATAAAATTGACCGATCAGGTGAATCTGATAGTATTCGCTAGCCAAAAAATATATAGAATCGTATCTTATATGTACATAATACACGTATAAATAAAAATATATATTTTTTTTATTTTAATTTGGTTATTGTTTATTAGACTGAAAATAAAAAATAAAATGATTAAGAAAATACTACAAAAAAATTATATTGTCCGATCACGGTGATTTTTGTGTGAATTAGAGAAAGTTTGATGATATTTGGGTGAGAAAACAAAGTTACATGACTTTCATAAAAAAAAGTTATAGTTATATGACCATGTATGAAAATTAACCTAGATTAAAACAATAAGCAGTAAATATATACATACTTCTCTTATTATTCATATGTGTGAAGAATCGAACTCGCCAGACATGTATATATGTTCAATAAGGATTATCGGAATAAATTCATGGCCATTGGACAAGTGGTTTAAAAGGAACCAAGGGTCCACCACAACTATATCAGCGAAAATTTAGCTATTGTGTTGTATGACTTGTAAAGAAAAAATGAAAGAAAGCTACGCAACACATTTCTTTCCTCAACTTCCTTGAAAAGCTAAATGACACAAAATAAAGCTAAGTGATTCAAAAACCTTTTAAGAAAATGGACATCTGAGTCCATAGAAACAAACTACAGAGATAAAAAAAATAAAAAATAAAAAGATATGATCAATTGATCCTACACTTTAAAGAAAAGGAAATTATACGTTACTTAAAGCATAAGAAACAAAAACATATAGTACTCCATTTAATAAGGAGAGAAGACAAATGAATATTCTTACTTGGGCAATTGGTGTGAATATACTTCCTCGAGGTGGTGTGTTCCTATAAAGAACTGTTCCACAAAGCAAACTGATCAATCCAAGGGCCATTGCAGCTGCAGAAACCCCGAATCCGACGTCCATTCCGTAGTGAGTTTGCACCCAAACAAGAAGAGTTAGAGCAACAAGTTCCCCAGTACAAAAAGCAAAATAGGCAAAGTTGAAGTAAGTAGATAGCTTCTTGGATTGCTTGGAATCATCTTTCTTGAATTGGTCAGCACCCTGTGAGATTATATTAGGTTTTAAAGAGCCACTGCCTAAAGCAACCAAGTAGAGTGCAACAAAAAAGATCATAGCCTTATATCCCTTTGCTTCCATGCACTGCCCTTTGCTTAACATCATGTCACACTTTGGCGGCCTTAGCTGTGGAACATGTGCTTGCACTGCCAATAGAATAAACCCCTGCCAATATATACATAATAAGAGTCTTGAATCATTTGTTAAATATATGTCTTCACATGCTTATTTATATATATACACTCTCCCTGTTCCAGTTTATGTGAACCTATTTCCTTTTTGGTCTGTTCTAAAAAGAATAACCCCTTTCTAAATTTGAAAATAATTTAGTTTAAACTTTCAATTCTACCCTTAATGATAAACTTTTACAACCACACAAATACTCTGGACCTTTTTTTGACTTGTTTATGACCACAAATTCCAAAAGTCTTATTTTTTCTTAAACTCCGTGCCCAGTCAAACAGAATCACCTAAACTGGAACGGAGGGAGTACTTCTTATCGCGTGTGCAAGAAAAAAAGGTTCTTATCTCATTTACTATCCCATAATAGACGTTGAAAACCGTTTTCTTATCCCATAAGGGCAACTGCAGTTGCATGTCCAAATTAACTTGGTCATGTATACTTTTTTTTGTTCTTTTAGGTGGAGCATGCAGTATTTGTGGAAAAAAGAGGTTTACACTGAGGTTAGTGAAGAAGGAGACTTACAGAGAGTTCGACAAAGCCAAAGATCAACATAGTCAAGAAGCTGCCAAGATAAGAATCGGAGAGAAAGCCACCAAAAAGGGAGAGGAGGAAAACAGTTCCAATGAAATTTGTGACTATGTTAGCGGACTTTGAGAGAGGGAAGTGCATCTCATTGAAGACATAGGTTATTAGATTATTTCCAACAGCGGCAATGCCCATCATTTCGAATGCCTGAAGGCCTGCACTTCCTCCAAATAAAAATGCCGAATTTTACCATCAATAAAATGCTAAAGTATTCATGTGATATTCTAGAAGGAAAACAAAATGGAATAAAAACAAAAGGAACAACACTGATGAATAAAGATGGCATGTTGTAATCACGTCGAATTGTGTGATCACCTTATTTTAAAAGATTAAAACTTTGATATTACGTTGAATTATGTGATATTGCATATAAAAGCTTAAGCTAATAGACAGAAAACACTAGTATTATTTAAGTACTTAATTATGTTTTCAACGAACACCACCACAAGAAAACTTGTTTTCAAATTTTAAGCTAGTGATGATGGGAAGCAAAATGATAACAATAGCCCAGTCAAATTCAAATCTTGGGTGTATATCAATTTGGAGAGAGAGAGAGAGACGTACACAATACAAAGATAGCAGCAGTCATGCCACCATGTTTGTTTGGTTTGCAAGGTCTTCCTCTCCAATCAACAGAGGCTTGCTCTGTTGCAGTACCCATAGACACAACAGATTCCCTTTTGATCAACTTATTCTTTCTTGTCTCTTCCCTATCCATCAACTCAATCCTTCTTATTCACACTTACCTTTCTGAACTAGAAAAGAAGAAAATATGTATTGCTATCCTCTTACTTTGACATAGGAATCTCAAAGCATAATACTATATTGGTACAAGAAAATATATTAGAACTGATTATGGGAACAAGATAAGGGAAAGAAGCAAAAGGCTGTCTGCTCCTTTCTCTGGTCTATCTCTCTTTTCGTGATGACTAAGTTGCAAGTGAATTTGGCCTCCTATTTATATCTGCACCTTCTTGGTTACTTTCTGTTTGTCAATCAGTTGACTCTGCTCTAGTGTTAATGGTGTGGTCCACATACCATAACATATTATGGCTTACAGCGCACTCACTTCCACATTTTGCTATTCTATACATGTAATTCTAGGCCTTAAATTGAGGTGGGACTATATATGAGTATATTCTCAATCACACACTATAAAGCAATTGGTTTCCACTAATTACAGAACCAGCAGAGTCAAAAGATCTACCCATTCATATACTTGAAAAGATGATCGATCATGGCCTCCATATCATAATGTCCTGTTTGACGTAACTTGAACAATAAGTAATGTTCCATGAAAAAACATTACATTTAGTATTTTAGCTATATATATGGAAATTGTAAAAATTATTTACACTGCCACTTAATTTTATTATAATAGGAAGTTAGTATTTTTTTTTTTGTAGGTTACTAATTTATGTCTATTATAAGGATTTATCCTCGTGAGTCGAGAGTATATTGAAAACAACCTCTCTATTCTCACAAGGTAACGGTAAGGTCTGCGTACACACTATTCTCTCCATACCCACAATGTGAGATAATACTGGGTGGGTTGTTGTTGTATAACGATTTATCCGTAATTTTCTCGTGAGTGGATAAGTTGTGTAAATATCTACATTTGTACATAGAACTTAAACTATTTCGTTTGTTGGAGTGATAAGGGTGAGTATTCTATAGTTTTGTCATTTGCATAACAAAATGATCATTATATGAAAATTTTCTTAATCGAAATATTTTAGGTTTTGGAGCATTAATTGGAGAAGGATCTCAACTAACTTCACACCTATATAAAGAGCCTTTATTGCTGCTATTCAAGAATTATTTTATTCAAAACTCTTGGCAATAGCAATATCAAGGAAGAAGGTGCTCTTACATACTCAAATTGCTCAACGAAGGAACCAGATCTCGATGAAGAAGCTGTTTAGTTCTTTGGTTGTTAGGTTGATTAGTCTTTGTCCGTGAATTATAAAATATATGCTTTTAAAGAAGTGTAATCAGAGGTTAGCATAAATTTTGAGTTTTTTTTTTCGCTTTTTAGATTAGAATTAGTTTAGAAAGGGGTAGCTATAATTGAGTTGATTATTAGGGAAGAGTACTGTAGTTATCTTCTGGGTTAGTGAGTTGTAACCTGTCACGACCCAAATTCCACTAAGGGTTGTGATGGCGTCGGACACCAATGTCAGGCAAGCCAACCAAAATACTTAATTAAATTCTCGTGTTGATAATCTTGAAAACTATAATTTTCCTTCAATTTCACTAGTAAAAGATAGTCATTTCAAATCAAATATGAATGTTAAGAAGTTAATACAAGATACCCCATAATCATCCCAGAACCCGATGTCACAAGTGCATGAGCATTTACTAGGGAATGAAATAAAATACAGTAACTGTCCGGAATATAATGTGGACAAAAATGAAAAATACCGTAAAATACTCTGAAGGGGACTCTGCTGGCTGCGGGTCGTCTCGATAAATGCAGCTCACCTAAGTCTCCGTATCAACCATGTCGCTATGCCGCTATGCTACTAGCCACATATGAACTTATGCAACAAAAATGCATAACAAGTGTAGTATGAGTACGAAAACAACGTGTACCCATTGAGTATCCCGTCTAATCTCGAAGAAGTAGAGACGAGAGGTCGACTTCGACACTTACTAGTGGTCCAATGATAATATAGTAAAAGTGTGAGGAATTCATGGATTCATAAAGCAAAATTATACTCGTAAAGCCGGAAAGCAGGTAAACAATTTTTCAAATAATAGAAGATTTCCAAAGTTTTACTTTTCATTATCTTTATCAATTTATCTCTGACCAGGAAAGGCAATTATCAACATTTAAAATTCTCAAGAAAGCAATACAAGCATGCGCATATCATGCCAAGGTCGTACGGCACGGTCCAACATAAATGTAAAATGTGCACTGTCGAGGGTCGAACGGCACAAACCATAGATGCATCTATTACCCCGCTCGTGAATCATATATGCGACACGGTAAACATAAATAAACAAACACCCCGCTCGTAAATCATACATGCGACGCGAGCACACATAGATACACACATCCAAATAGCCAATTAAGAATTTATCGGGGAACATTTATCCAAACGAAAGCCAATTCTCTTTTAACGATTTAAGAAAATGAAGTTTAATCCCTTTTTGAAATTCATTTACCAATTCGATAGGATTTAAGCAATTCAACTGTCAATAAGATTACAGATATTCCAAGTATAGCATGCTTTTGGGTCCTAGACTACCCGGACTTAGACATAATAGTAGCTGCACACAGACTCTCGTCACCTCGTGCGTACGTAGCCTCCCACAAATAGGAGCACATAACCAATTATTTTACCAATGGGGACAATTCCCTCTTACAAGGTTAGAAAGGAGACTTACCTCGCTCCAAAGATTCATAACCGGCATTTCACGCCCTTCCGAAGACTCGAATCGATGCTAAATGCTCCAAAACTAGCCAATAATTATGAAAATCCATTAATATATGTTCAATTACTCATTACAATCCAATTTATAACAATTCCTAACCCCGATCGAAAAGTTGACAAAATTGCCATCAGGCCCACGTGCCCAGATTCAGAAATTTTTCGAAGATGAAAGTTTACCCATAACCTCACAAACTGAACTATATAATTTACTCTCAATTTTATTCCCAAAATCGTGGTCAAAATCCAAAAATACCAATCCTAGTTCTTTCTACCAAAACCCCAAGTTTCTACAAATCTTTCTTGCTCAAATCCGTAATAAATCATATATTTAACTCACAAGGAGTGGAATTGACTTACCGCATGTTTGATGACAAAAATGGCACCTCAATGTTGATCCAAAATCGGCTCCAATGGAAGAAATGGGGCTGAAATGAACCCAATCCCCGACTTAAAAGAACCTTACTGCCTCCAACATTTCTGCACCTACGGTCACTTGACTGCTTTTGCAGTTCCCGCAGGTGTGACCCACTACCCACTTCTGCAGTTTCTCACCAGGCTGCCATTTCCGCTTCTATGCCTCAACCACCACAGGTGCGGTCCCACTTCTGCGGCTACATGACCACATCTGCGGTCTCTTCACTTCTGGCCCAACACCATATTTGCGTCCCTCCTAGCCACTTCTTGCGGTTCCGCACCTGCGGCCAAAACCTCGCAGGTGCGGTTACACCAGATACCAGCTGCTTCACTTCTTCAAATTTCAACTTTGATCCGTTAACCATCCGGAATCCACCAGAGGCATCCGAGACTCCTACCAATCATACCAACTAGTCCCAAAACATAATGCGGACCTGCTCGAGATCTCAAATCACATCAAACAACGCTAAAATCACTAATCAGACCCCAAATCAAACTTAATGAACTTGAGAAATTCAAACTTCAACATTCGATGTTGAAACCTATCAAATCACATTCGATTGACCTCAAATTTTGGACACAAGTCATATCTGACGTGACGGACCTACTCCAACTTCCGGAATCAGATTCCGACTCCGATATCAAAAGGTCCACTTCCGATCAAACTTTTCAAAAACCTTCAAATTTCTATCTTTAGCCAAATGACTCCAAAATGATCCACGGACCTCCGAATTCATTTCCGATCATGCTCCCAACACCAGAATCACTATACAGAGCTATTCCCAGACTCAGAATCCCAAACGGACATTAATAAAACTGAGATGCACTTCAACCCAAACTTATGAAATTCTTCCAAAAATGGTAACTTCCATAATAGGTGCCGAAACGCTCCCGTGTCTTCCAAAACCTGATTCGGACATATGTCCAAGTCCGAAATCATCATACGAACCTGCTAGAACCTCCGAATCTCGAACCCGAGGTCGTTTACTCAAAAATTCAATCTTAGTCAATTCTTCCACCTTAATTCTTCCGAAATGAGAATTCTCTTTCCAAATCAACTCTGAACTTCCCGGAATTCAGTTCCGACCATGCGTATAAGTCATAATACCTGAAGTGAAGCTGCTCATGGCCTCAAACTGCTGAACGACGCACTAGAGCTTGAAACGACCGGTCGGGTCGTTACATTCTCTCCCACTTAAACATATGTTCGTCCTCGAACGTGCCGAGAACTGCTATGAAGTTATCCGAAATTACTATTTAACACCTCGAGCACCTACCCATGCTACCACAACTCGGCTGGGCACCTTAGCTTGATCAATCTGGAGATTCCTTTTCCACTTAAGCAAATAATCCTTAGAGCCCAATTCCAACATCCGGAATTCTCTACCAGGCCTGTTTCAAACATACGAACACTGTATCAATCACCACACGATGTACCAGAACATGATTGCATACCTTTGTTGAATTCCCACCTTACACCACTTTATTCATAGGACCACAATAACATTCTCTGAGCATAGTAGTCGAAATTCCACAAATCTGATGCTCCCATTGCACCTCATGACATACATAGGTCTTGCTCTAACTCTTACAATACCACCACGACGGAAGAGGTGTGTAGAAATTCATAACCAACTACCAAATCAACAATTCATTGGGTCCATACTCCTGGCAAGAACCATCATCTCATTCTGAACCAAATAATGGTCTTTGATCCTTAATATACTTCTTAAAATCAGATTGCACTGATCCTAAATCCAATGATCTCGTCTCACCCAGTACGAACTGCTTAGGCAATAAGCCACCCCGGACATGATCAAAATTCTCATATGATGCCACAATGTGCCAATGGGCTACCAATTTGAACGAGATACAAAAGGAAAACGAACTCTGAAAAAGAAATTCAATTACCCCGCTCGCGAATCATACATGCGACGCGGTCAACTTATTTAAACAAACACCCCGCTCGCGAGTCATACCTGTGATGCAGGCACACAACTAATATGAGTTTTCCTCAGAAAAATAGGAAACGCAACACATGAAAATAGATATGGGGAACTGTACTCAACATCATATTGTTGTG